GCTTGAAGACTGCCTGCAATTGTTGGTAGAAAGGTAATTTTGTTTCGTATACTCCATGAATTTAGTTGCACAAGGAGTGGGGTTGTTTCAGATTAGAAGTGCAGTCTACATGTCTGACTTATGGTTTTTTTGCAGCAATCGGATTCCTGAGGCAGCTCTAATGGCACGATCTTATCTCCCGAGTAAGGTCTCAGAGATTGTAGCAATTTGGAGAAAAGATCTCAGCAAGGTAATTTCTAATTCACATATGTATGTAATGTTAACTGAAACTATGGAACTGCCTGGCTTTTGTGGTTTGCAAGACATTGTGGGTCAGACCCTGTTCTCTATATATTGCCATGTCCAGGGAGCCAAAGGCATGTAGGTCATAGTTCAATTATATATTTCTTATGTGTTTTGCTGTTTGCCCAGGTTAATCCAAAAGCTGCTGAATCATTGGCTGATCCCGAGGAGTATCCCAATTTGTTTGAAGACTGGCAAGTTGCACTTGCAGTTGAATCTAAAGCTGCAGAAACAAGGTTAGAGTGTGGAAAAGCATATATACAAAAAAAACCGTATTTTGTTTATAGCTTTGATCATTATTATTGGCATTTTGCACAATATATTTACTGACTAATTAGTTATTTTGTTTATTATAGGGGTGTTTATCCTCCTGCAGAAGAGTACGTTAACCATGCTGCTGAATCTCGTGTTACTCTTGTTGAAGCATTCAGAAACATGCAGATTGAAGATGCAGAGGAGCCTCTCGAGAATGGGGACTCAAATCATGAGGTATGCTGATCACGTGAAGTTCACAAATAAATTTGTACTATTTCATTATTTATCTTCTAAGTAATGGGGAAGCAAATCCCTGTCTTTGTCCCTTTTGTTACAGCTGACTGAACAAAACGGAGAAGAGCATGTCACGGAGGAACTGAATGGAGAGGTAGGAAGCCAAGAGGAGGCAGTTGTAGTGGATGCTGATTCTGCAGATGGCGCGGTACTCGTTAATGGCAATGAGGCTGATGAACAGTGGGGTACGAATAATGAAGGAGCCCCGTCAGCCTAAAAGCAATTGGTTGGGGCAGTGTGAAAATCCAATTTTGTCTCTGGTGATTAATTGTTTCTGAAGTGCCATTTCTAACTCCCATTTCGTCAACTTGCTGACTTACTCCAATTTTTTTAGTTGTTTTTTTAATATTGAATCAACACTCAAAACACTATAATGTCTGCAGATGATGCTTCATTGTTATATTGCCCATGCAAGTATTTTTCCCCTTTCATCAAATCTTGGACGCACCCAACTTTGACTTGCCTATGGCAAACTTTCCATACAACAGCTTTTGTTGAATCTGCAGACATTTTCACTTGATTATTTACCATAGCATTATTAGCCTGAACTATGAATGTCTGTGTCTTTATACTTGCATTTGTAATTTTGTTTTATTCAAATTTTCTTGGTCCTCACTCCACTTTCTTCTTTTCTGGCAGTGCTTACATCACATCACTAGTTAGCATCAAGGACAGTCGGTTCTAGCTCCTGGGAATATTTAAGGTTAGGAGAAGAAAAGAAGTTCTGAGGATGAGTGTCCACGTCCGGCTCTTGTATTGATACTTAGTCTCTACCAATTTGTAGTGGATGTGCTCGTAATGTGTTACGCCTACTCCTTTTCTTGTATATTACCTTTTTTTCATTTTCTATAGTTTGAACTGCAGGTTTTCTGAAGGAGGCATTATTGTGCGGACTGGCCGTTTGTGTTTCCTGGTGTTGTGGTTTGGTAGTGCCCTGAGTTTGGTCATTTTGTACGTGGTATAATACTCTATCTCATAGGTTCAGGTAGTTACGAATTTACTAGAATTTATAGCAGATTCTTTTTGAGGCTTTTGACCTCAATGTTCTTGCGCCATTGTGAATTTAGTAAAGCGAAATTATGATTTGCGTGTTCGGGCTCTAGGTCGTTTTTCCCCCTCTCACAGAAATTTGGCTCATGCTTATGGATGTTTCTACTTTTTGATATTTACTTGGATTGTAATCGTGGAATCAATAGAGAAAATAACCATTCTTCCCCGACATCTTCTGTCCGGTTTCTGTCCTGTGCTTCTCTCCACCGCGTTTCTATTACACTTCCTGAAATTTTTAGAATTTGTACTTTCTAAAGTGTCAACTTTAATTGATCAGTTTGGCATTGGCAAGTCTTCTAAAATCTTTAATTTGTATCTTTTGAAGTTTATACTTAAAACAATACTAACTTTGATCGTTTTTATAAGATCTTGTTTGTAAACTACAATCGAAGTCTTATAATTAGAACTGGAGGAAGTATCATTTTGTTTTGCTTAAGAAATCTGTTGATTCAAATGAATTTATGCACAGTTAAAAGTGAAGGATTTAGGTGATCCATTTCCATTAGGAGTTAGGACTGCAGAGTGCAGATGATCATGTTGCCCTTGTAGTCATCAAGATTCTGGACGGATCTCTACCGACGGTGAGTTGCTATTTGGGAATTCAGAGATGTTCAATCGTAAAGTGCTTTATATTGTACCCAGAAAAAAAAAAGTGCTTTGTATATAATAATTTCAAGATAAGCTTAAAAATAATAAGTTCAATTTAACAATTCGCGCATCTCTACGAGTTATTTACGACAAAACTCTTTAATAAATTTTTTGGTTTTCAATTACAAGATAATTTTAGAAATCAATCAGTACAATTCAACAACTTACAAGTTATAATTAGCTGTTGATAACAGAATTTTTGTAATAAAGTTCACCAAAGCTGTGGGCATTTTATTTGAGATTTCCCATAGCAGGTGACTTTTAATTACATTTTTCATATTAGATATATTCATAATTGATGCAAAACAGTAAACTCTGATACAATGTTTGATATGTGAAAAATGTTTTCTAGCAAAGGAATAGAAAATATACAAATCCCATTTTTTAAATATAATTCTCATTTCCTTTTTTCCCAAAAAAAAAAATTCTACATGCCAAATATTACCTGAATATTTCCTATAAGTCATACACAGGTCAAATCTAAATCTAAATAATAAATACTACCTCCGGTCCTTAATATAAGACCCCGTTTGACTTTTTGTTTGGTCCTAATTATAAGACCCCAATCCATTTTATCTCTCATATTTATATATTTTTTTCCAAGATAACCCTTCTAATAATGATAGTTCTAGCCAACACACTTAATTAGCAAGGATATTTTAGGAATGACAACACTTATTTATTACAAATAACTAACTTAACTTACTTCCTTAATCTCCTCAAATAAGTCAACTGGGTCTTATAATTAGGACCGGAGGTAGTATAAGATAACATCAATCTTAGACAAATCTGTTGCACGAGCAGTTGGTATACGAAGGTGATATGTCTTATAGTTGCTTAACAGCAGCAGTTCATGCATATGACTCCTCCACTCATTTCATCCATGTGTCCTGCTAATATGGTGGGAAATGGTATTGTACTACTGTTAGACAAGATATAAAATTGAAAGAGGGCTTGAAAACAACCTATAAGAATAGATTCCCATAAGAATAGGACTATGTATCATCCTAGATTAAAGCATGGTAGATTAAAGATCAGTTACCACATATTTTTAATATTAGTGGTGGTTGAACTTGATCACCTTAATATTTCTCATATTTACCATTTTTTCAAACTAATCTATTCAATTTATAAATTGATATATAATCTAATGTTATGTCATAGTATTTTAGAAAGATCATGTCATATTTGTTATAATTAATTTGTTTGTTTTAATTTTTTTAATCTATTCAAATTAGTTAAGAAACAAGAGAGTATTAAATTCATGGAAATGAAATATTTTAAAAAAAAAATACAAAATTTCCAGCGCGAGGGTAATAGTTTCTTGTTGGGGAATTAACTTATTTAAACTTCTTTTTCTTTGGACATATCTAGGAAATAATCAACTTATTTTCATGATCATCATTGGTATACATAATTTAATATTATATTGAAATATTTTTAGAGAGAGTATGTACATTTAATATGATTAACTAATTTACTTGGCTTTCTCAATCCACCCAAATTAGTTAATTAAGTAACAAAAGAGAGTATCAAATTCATGAAAATCATTAAAAAAAAGAAATCATAAATTCTTGGAAATAAAATATTTTTTCAAAAATTATGCAAAAATTTATACCGGGAGTGTAAGAATTTCTTTTTAAGAATCGGCTTATTTAAACTTTTCTCTCTTTGGACGTGTCTGAGAAATAATCTTGTATTTTACTTTTTAAGATCTAAGCATTTTAGACGAATCAGATACTGTCGTATCCTAAGTCAAAATTCATATCTCATCCGCATCCACTCCTTTATTTTTTTAAAATTTTTTCCAAGCACCAACCCCTTTCCTTTTTTTTTTTTTAAATAAAAATAATTTGCCATCACATCCACTCCTTTCCATACATCAAGATTTTTGAGAAAGTAAATTTTTATTACTATAATTCACTTCAATTTTTAAGTTGGGAATTGTAATACTCCTTTAGTCTTAAATATAAGACTCATTTTGTAGTGTAATTTACACTACAAAATGGGTATTATATTTAGGACCGAAAGAGTATGTTTTTAATTGAAAAAAAAGGAAAAATCCATTACTATAATTCACCCCAACTATTTCAGAGTTAGTCCCTATATTATGCCACCATTAATATATTGGTCCCTCAGATTTACACATCAACAGGTTCCATTTATACCATGGAAACTTACTCTAAAGTAAGTTTTTAAATGTATAAGGAGTGCTTTTAAAATTTTTTTTTAATATAATAACCGATTTGAAATAAAAGGTCAATTATGATTTGTAAGTACTAATTAATACTAATTAATTTTCCCAAAAAAATTTTTATATTTAAAGATTCCAAAGCCCAAATTAGTTTTTTTTACTGGCAAAAACTGACTTTTTTTTTGTTCAGAGCCCAACTTCTGAACCGAATCTCTGTCCGTAAGCCCTATTCAGTGATGTGTCTCTCTCTCTCCCAAATAAGAACCCTTCTGCTCAACTCGTCGCTAGAATGAAATGAGGGAGACACTGTACCTCGTCCCTCTGTCTTCCATATCCGCACATTGAAATTCCGAAATCTTGGAAGCCAGTTTTCTCTTTTTGGATTTCTCTCTCTCTCGTTAGCTAATTCTGTCTCTTCTTTCAGCAAAGCTTTCCTCCCGCCGCCGGTGACGCGCTTCTTGCTTCATCTGGTGAGTGTTTTTTTTACGAGCACTTCATTGTCCGAGCTCAGTTTATTATTGTTTATTGTATGTTATGTTGATATCCTGCTTAGTGATCGTGAAATGTTCCTCTCGTAGTTCGCTACTATGCGTAGAGTAGGGTTTTGGTTTTTTATTTGGTTTCTGGAGAAAATGAAGTTATGACTTTTAATTTTTATTTATTATGGTACTTTCTTGAGCATTTTATGCTTACTGTCGTATGCTAGTCCTTGGAGTCCAGTTGGTCTTGTTTTTCTCTACTTTAGTCTTTGATTTGTTTTTCGCCGGAATTATTAGTTTAACTAGGTATTAGAATTACTGTATTCTTTCAAGATTTGTTTGATACATTTGGTTCTTTTAATGAAACTTCTGTTATATTTTGAGAGGATTGCGTGCTAATTCTTGCTCTTCCTTTGGTAATCTTTACCCTTTTTTGTTGGTACTTCTGTTGCCTCTCTTAGCTTATTTTTGCTTCTGACGTCTGAATTCGTACTTAAAAAGTTTATGCGATTGCTTTATCAGCTGGAAGGGTTTACTGAAGATTTGGAACTGATTCTATGAGTCCTGATTTTTCTGAAACCATTGTGAGAATGTTGGATTGTTGTCAATTCATATACTCATGTTTATAAATAATGATGATGATGCATCATCATTGTAATTTGTATATCTATTATGATATGTTAAAATTTCAAACTGAGTACAGAATAAATTTTTACATTTGTAAGTTCTTCCCCAACATAGTTGTACCATTTTCAGAAACAGTATGCAAACTAGACTTAATCCTACTTCCGCAATTTGCTACTCTTGAATAATTTTACTATTATTTGAGACTATACATCTTCTGCCACTTTATTGCTTTATTTAGTTGGTGATTTGCATTATTTACATGCTTAGATTGCTCAAGAGTCTACACATCCTTGTTATAATGTTGAACAGTTGGTTCAAATTGAATCTTATTTATTTTATTTTTATGTTTGGCCATTTGTTTCTCAAATTCAAAGAATTATGATCAAGATTGCAAGCATATCAAAACACGTGTTAAATGCGTTTTGTTGATCAGTATGTTATAATGTTGAATGATATGTGTAATTGCATGCTTGTGACCTCTGTGAGTAATAGAACCTTACTCTTGATTTCTGTGTAAGATTAAAATAAAACTCATAAGCTTAGATAGATAAGTTATAAAATTCTGTTTGAATTCTATTATAAAATATTATAATATTAGCATTCGGCAGTGCAGTAGTGAAAAAGTTTTCTATTTTAACATTCTGTTTATAGTACCTGATCACTTTGGGATTAGGATATATGGGACGCAAGACTAGAGAAACAAAAGAGCTCATTCAAATGTCCTGGACAGCCATGTCATGCTATAATGCGACAAATTATGAAATCCTGACCTTGATGACAAGAAATTTGTTATTAAAGTTTATCATTATAGTTTTGCCCAGAAAACCCTCGCTTGATTGGCACGTAGGGATGCTGTTTTATAGATGCATATTAACCAAAATATTATAGGAATCTGCCTTAGAGATACCTTGTTGATATGAGAGTCATTCTCCAGGGATTATTTACAATTTAATAATAAAGATATTAAACTGACAAAAACAAACAAATGAATGGATGCATATTTAATATCTATCAACAGTTATTATGACCTTTTATGTCTACTTCTGGGCCACTTCTTCTAAGGTCATATTGAAATTATGATATTTGGTGCACCGAACTAGAAAACGCACGAGCCTATTTGTCTTTGCCAACTGTTTATGCTATAATGTAACACATTTTGAAATCAAGAAGCTGATGAGAAATGTGTTAATAGAAGATTCTATTTGTAGTTTGAGAACTTGTCATTTCATTTTGGAATTACGATATTTGCCACACAGGACTAGGAAAACAAAATAGCTGATGTAAATATCTCTGGTTGCTTTATGCTATGACGTAATGCATTCGGAGAACAGCATTGATGCTAAAATAAGTCTTATTGTCCATACGTAATTGATGAACACATTTTGGATGAACTTATGTTGGCTTCTGTTTTTGTCCTTTACCAAGGATCTAGGTATTTCTCGGGGAAAATTTATGGGTTCACTATTTTGTAATCAGTTATTTAATAGATCTATTTTCCTTTTCTATGATACTTTTTGTTTTTCGTTGTTCCCTCAAATGTTTGTGTAAAATTATTTAGGTCACTGGGGACTTCCTAAATAAATCATCACTGGTTTTTGTTGGTGTTGTCCATGTACTGTTCTCTGTGTTTATTTACTTGACATAGTCTTCACTCATATTAATTTACTCTTTTATGCATAAAAATTTTTTTTGTTTCTTTTCACCCTCAACGATAGTTCTGCTAATATTTATACGACAAAACATTTACCTTGGAAGCAAGCTTGTGTAGGTGCATATAGCCTGCATACTCTCTGCAGTTTCTAACTGGAAACCTCAGTTAATTTCGTTATTTGCAAGAAACAGAATGATGAAATTAACTAAGTTTTTTTCAAGCATCTATGTGATGGAGTCCCACATTCCTCAAGACTTTTTCATGCTGTAAATAATGGAAGTAGTTTGTTAAAAGCGTGAAGAAAAAAAAAAGTTTTATCATGAACTTTATATTGGATGATTTTCTGTTGTTGGCTGTGTCTGTTAGATGGTATTTGTATTGTGCTTATTTTTAACCTTTAATGGTATGTTTTTGGAGTGTATGTATGAGTGGCTATGCGTATGCTATGATTTTACACTTACATTGTTATTACCTTAAATTTTGTCTTCAATTTGAGGAGAAAAGATTAATATCCTACTTTCCTTACTGCAGTGATTTCCTTATTTGGTCAAATATAAGTTCTGAAGTTGTATTTCATTGATTTCTTACTTCAATGGGGGATGCTGACAATGCCCTTCCACCTTCAAAGAAAAGGGCTGCGGGAAGGGAGCTCTCTCGAGACACTCCCCTTGATGATGAGGAAGATACCTCAGAACCTGAGGCTGGAACCTTTAAGAAGGCCAGTGATGAAGTTATGGCAACCAGGAGGATAGTTAAAGTTCGCCGCCAACCGAGCAATTCCGCTCCATCTACAAATCCTTTCTCTGGAATACGTTTGATTTCTCCTCCTGAGTCGAGTGCTAAACCTGCAGAAGCTACTCCCATAGCCCAATCAACTAGTGAAAACACTGCTGCAGATGATACAAAATGTACTGCTGATGTAATCAAGGATTCTGAGAAAGCTAAAGACGGGGATGTTGAACAATTAGAGAGCAAAGTCGATGAGTTGGGAAATAAATCTGCTGAAATTAAGGATGCTGCTAAAGAAAATGTTGCTGATGGAGAGAGCACTGCAGAGAAGAGCATGGGTGAAGAATCTGAGGTAGACAAACACCAAACGAAGGATCATGATAAAAACGGTGATGAGGATAGGAAGGATGCTGAAGATAAGGAGACTCCTGGTGAAGCAGATAAAGAACAAACTAATACAAATGTTAATGAGGATACAAAGGATGCTGAAGATAAAGAGATCGCTGGTGAGGTGGAAAAAGAACAAACTAATAAAAGTGATAATGAGGATAAGAAGGATGCTGAGGATAAAGAGACCGCTGGTGAGGTGGAAAAAGAACAAGATAGGGATGGCAATGATGCGGTAAATGATGATCAGAAGGAGAACACCTCAGAAGGATCTTCTTTGAAGTCATTTCAACAGCTTTCAAGCAGCCAAAATGCATTTACTGGTCTTGCTGGCACTGGATTTTCTGCTTCCTCATTTTCCTTTGGTTCTTTATCAAACGAGGGGTCTGCTTTGGGTAGTGGTTCTGGTTCAATTTTTGGAATGAAAAATGATAAGCCTTTTGGGCTGGGTTTGTCTAACAATGGATCTTCTGTTTTTGGGGCAACAGGTGCCTCTGCTACTGCTAAAGGTGAGGGAAGTGGTTTCACAACAATGCAGGAGGTGGTAGTTGAAACGGGCGAGGAAAATGAGAAAGTGGTCTTCAATGCAGATTCAGTATTATTCGAGTTTGTTGAGGGAAGTTGGAAGGAACGAGGAAAGGGTGAACTGAAGGTCAACGTTTCCACAGGAGGGAATGAAAAGGCCAGACTTCTTATGAGGACGAAGGGAAATTACAGGCTAATTTTAAACGCGCGTCTTTACCCTGATATAAAGCTCACCAACATGGAGAAGAAAGGCGTCACTTTTGCCTGCATCAATAGCGCCAATGAAGGGAAGGATGGCCTCTCAACATTCGCCTTGAAATTCAAAGACGGGTCCATAGTAGAGGAATTTAAAGCCGCAGTCATGGCTCATAAGGGCGACAAAGCCACAGTTCTCAAGACCCCAGAAAACTCACCCAAGGCTTCTGATGCATGATTAAAGAGGATCTTGTTGATCTGTTTTTTTGAGTCTGTCGTCTTTAGGAAGGGAAAATGTCACTATTTTGAGTTACGTATGCCTTTGTATGGCAGAGTCTTATCATATTTGACTATTTGTATTTTAATTTGGGTCCGGGTCTACTGTCCGAGGGATATGAGAACTTGTTTTTGGACGAATCTTGGATTGGGATTACGCAGGAATATTTGATGATATACTATATTCCCATATCATAGATGTTTTCTCGTCAAATGCAGGAGGGAGAATCATGAGAAAGAAAGTAGAAGCATTTGTTATAGGTGTTCTTCTGATAAAAATAAAATATGTGAAGATTTTGGGTTATTTCATGTCAAAACTGGTAGTGCTCCGGGATATCATTATGGCTTCAACTCAGGTTGTGTCAGCTCGTTTATTCGGTGATTCAGGTTATTTCAAATTCAAATTTACTGGCATATTTAGGAATGAGATGGGTAAACTCCTTTGAAGTGAGTGCATCCTAGGGCTTTCAATGTGAGGTTTGTTTATCCTTCAAAATGAACAAACTATTGCGAGTCATCTAAGGAGGTGTTTGGGAAACCCAAAACCATGGTTTCAGAAGCACTTTTCCGCAAAACGAGATAATCTCCTCCACATATTTACTTCATAATCCATAAAAGCACTTCTGAAACCATGGTTTGGTTTCTATCCAAACACCCCCTAAGTCATGTTAGATATGTGATGCCAGGAAATATCTCCATGTAATGTATTTTCAAACTCTTAAAAGGTGTAAAAGATCATGCATAGGGAATCATATGAAGTTTCCTGGTCACGGCATGTCTGGTAGGATGGAGTTATTTTTAAGGAGAATAAAAAAGGAGAGGACGATGGAGGGAGGCTTTCATGAAAAGAGTTAATTTTGGTCAAAGTCACTTCCCCTAGGAATTATTGGTGTAATAGAATGGTAACATATTTTAGAAAAAATGGCAAAAAAACTATTTACATAAAATAATCAGGGTACTAAAAACTAGACCGGTTAGTGAATCGGTCAAGATAGTGGGTTAAGAGTTAGTGGGTCAGACCGGAAATAACTCGGAATCTAACCAATAATAATTAAAATAATATAATTAAATTAAAATGTGTAAAAAAATATTTACTAATAAAACTATAATTTTAAATTATTTTATTATTAGTATATAAAATGTATTTTGCTCGTTTTTTCTCTCTTATTCACGTGCCCTTCCTTGTCCTTTGTCAGATTTTCTTTCTTCTCAATGTCATTTCATCATTTCACCCATACTCTATTGTCAAATCACCGTTTTTTTAGCTTCTAAGTCACCATTTCTTTATCTTGGGAGTTAAATGCGAAACCTCCCACACAAAGAAGATTTGCATCAAGCCATGGAGGTCACCTCTTTCATTTGCCAATCAGCGCTAACTCTTCAGTCTTCAGTTCTATCATCAGAATCCATTATGATAATACCATAGCTTGTGCCGTTCTTTTCCAATGTAAACGCATTCTCTCTTGCCACTTGCTTTTTGCCTCTTTCTTTCATTTTTTTCCTCTCACTTTTTTCTCTCTCATTGTTTGTGACGCCCTCCATTGTTTTCGATGAGTTAGAAAGTTAACTTGAGCAACCCGTCTAACTTGGTGGGTTACCTAGGTTATTGTTGAGTTATCTCGATTTATGCCGAGTTCTACTGGTTCGTATTTTTATCGGTTTAGGAAGTCAACCAGACCGGATAAGCGGCCGGTTCAATAGTTTCCAGCCGGAACAAACTGGTCCGGTTTTTAATACTATAAAAATAACGAGTATTTAGTTGGAAAAAAATAATGAGTATTTGAAAAATAAAGAATTAAATATTTTAATTTATAAAATTTATCGTTTATTACTTTATAAAATTATCCTTGTTTTTCTTCATAAAAGTACACTTTTATCCTATAATTTTGCAAAATGTTTTAGTTCGGTGGCTTAATATTATAGAGTATCATTTTAATTATGTAGTTCTAACATTTTCAGTCTATAATTTTTTGTGCAAATCACTGTTATTTCAAAAACGTAAACTTAATATATTAACATTTGCAAATATTTCATCAATATTTATAATTTTGATATCAACATTTTTTGCTAACGAAATTAAAGATGCTAAGATTAAAGGATTAAAATAACACTTCATAAAACTTTAAAACCAAAATAAAAGGTAAAAAAAAAAAAGATAAAATGTGAATGTTTAGTTGTTTACCTTCTTCTTCTTCTTTTTTAAATATTATATAAGTAACAACTCGTTTAACGAAAAGCTCACACTTCAAGTGGAGGAAACTCACGTACCTTTTCATCTCATTATGCTCCCTCCGATACTTAATATAAGATTTCATTTAATTTTTATTTTGGTCTTAAATATAAGATCCCAATCCACTTTATCTCTCATATTTATACATTTTTTCTAAGGTAGTTCTTCTAACAATGGTGGTTTTAGCTAATACACTTGATCAGCAAGAATATTTTAAAAAAGTCAACACTTATTTATTACAATAAAACTAATTTAAATTTTTTTTAATCTCCTCAAATTAGTTAACTAGGTCTTATAATTATGACTAGAGGTAGTATTACTCAATGCAGATGAAGTGCTCTCTATTACTACATATGCAAAGTCTTATACATTAAATGTTTCTTAACTTTCAAAAATATATTTTTAGTCTTTTAACTTCAAAATTGTTAGTCTTAATAATGATTTTTTGTAACAATAGTGGTTACTTTGAATATTAAATTTAATATGTTAGCATTTAGTAATGTTTTGTCAGAATTTAATAGCTCAATATCATCAGTGTTTTTTTGTTAACAATTTTAGAGTTAAATGACTAAAAGTTTATTTTTTAGAGTTAAGGGACTAAAATAAAATATTGTGTAAAATTAAAAGACTAAAAATATACTTTATTATCCAATAATAACAGGACACTGAGAGTTACTTTCGTGAAATGATAAAAATGTAAATGGAAGATAAAGAACTGTGCAAAACTATTGACATTCATAGCAAAGGAAGAATTATTTTTTATTTCCTCCCGTCTCTTCTATAAAAATTTGTTTTTATCTATAAGAAAAACATTATTCTAAAATTTTATTAATGTTTTTATGTTATTAGTGAGTATATTTATAAGATAAAATATTATATAAGATAAAATATTTTTTAGTAAACAATCAAGAGAATGTTTTTGGAAGAAATATATTTTTAATTTATTTATTGGTTTTTTTACCTGGATATTTATTGGTTATTTATGATAACTGTTTTTAATTTTATTTCCCAAACGGATGAATTTGTTACTTATCTCTTTTCAAGAGGATCGAAGAAGTATGCAAGTAATCCTTTGTTGGCTGACATGTCAGAGATTGGCCAACCAGGAGCATCCAAATTCACCTTCGTTGACAGTTTTCCGAAAATAACCTTAATCAAATCAGATAATTCCCATGATCCTCCTCCCATATTTAAATGCCATCCACCCCTATTTAGCATCCGGGCATCCGGCTTCTAATTGCTGACGACACTTGAAATTCCCAAAAAAATCTCCCAAAAAGTATTTAGGGTTTGGCAACGCAAGTCGCTCTATCTAATCCTAAGATCCTAATCCTGTCATAATTAACTTTTTTTTTTGTTTTAATTTTCGCGTTTAACCTTGAATTCTCTGAGGCGTTTTAATTGGGGGGTTTTCGCTTCGTGTTAAATTATGACCTTCTAGGGCTTTTGCTGTTCCGATTGACCGTGATTTCTCATATTGTGTTTCCTCTTGAGTAATTTTGGCGTTTCAAGGGAGATTGCTGCCTGGGTTTTGCTGAGCAATAATTTGGTGCCCTAGAAAGTTTGGATTTTGCTTAGAGGGTGATAATTGGTAGGATATTTGGTTTCTTTTGGTTGAGTGTTCCGTTAAATTGTCTGATAAAGTCTAGCTTTTTGGGTTTTGTTGCCTGGGATTTGTTCAGAACTAAGTAAGTAGCTATAGATGGCTACCGCCGGCGAAGAAGATGTGGAGTACGACAGTGATCCAGAGGAGGCGAAGAGATCGCTGGCAATGAGGAGGCGGGAAGCAAGTGATGACGAGGAAGGTGAAGGAGACGGGAGAGACAAGGGGGCAGACCGTCGGGTTGGAATCCATTCGGATGATTCAGATGATCAGGGTGGGGTGGCGGAGTATGATGACGAAGAAGACTTGGATGGCGATGAGGAAGAAGAGTTAGAAGAGCTTGATGATGAGGAAGTTGTTGAGGAAGGAGACGACGTTGAAGAAGAGGTGTATGAGGAGAGGGAGGGAGATAGAGGATTCCATGGTGCTGATGTTGAGGGTTCCGCAGGTATGGTCAAAGAATCAGATGGGGGTGCCCGAGCTCCTTCGGAAGCGGAGTTGCCTTCAGAGAACAGGGATGATGAGGAGAAAAAGGAGAATGAACCATTTGCAGTGCCCACAGCCGGAGCATTCTACATGCATGACGATCGTTTCAGGGATAATGCTGGTGGCCGCCATAGGTATGTTTACGCTTGGTCTATGATTTGCATTTTGGATTGCTGGAAATATACTATCAATGTCTATATAATATAGATGTGGCAATAGATGGAAAATTGTTTGTCATTAAAATGTGATGATCTTACTCCTTGTTTAGTTAATGATAGGTCGCCTTCATTTGTTCTTCGATTTTGTTTTGCGTTGTTTTTTGGATGAATAAATGATAACGATTATGACTCTGCTTCATGCATTTTAGATCAGGCGAAGATTATGTCTAGGGTAGTATTATTCATTACTTTGCAACTTTGTCTCTTGTATGTGGGCTTAAGCGAGGCATTAGAAAGGGAGTGCAATTTTCTTGTACCTTACTACTAAACCTGGGCTTTCTTTGTCCTATTACGGTTGCTGTAACGCTCTTTAGTGGAGAAGGGAGCTTCAATAGATTGCTTACGGGCTCTTGCGGTTCGAGATGCTTTTTAAATTAATGATTTTGAATTAATCCTGGTATTCCATTTACTGCATTATGTTATGAAGTATATTTGGAAGTTGGGTTTTCGCATGATCTCTATCTTAGGGTTTTGAACCTTTTTTTCTATCGCCGTTTTTGTTGGAAGATTTAATTATTCATTAGTGTACGTAAGATTGGTTTCCATACAAATACATTAGTCATCAAATTAGAAAATATTAATGGTGTTTTACTCTGGAATTTTAAGGAAACTACGATATAATAGTGTTTTGTAAGTTGAAAGTGCTCTGACATGTTATTATAGCTGAGAAATATTATGGGGTCATTCAAATTAAAATAATGGACAATTTTGAGCTGTAGAATTTTCTTGATTTTCTTAAAAATTTTCTTTCAAGTATTTAAACATTC